CTTTTTTTTGAACATACGACTTTTATGAGCTTTCAAATTATATTTGAATCTTGTCATATATCATCGCAGTACAAAATGTGGTATGTTAAAACAAAAACACTATAAATAAAGTATAAGGAACAGGGGAAAGAATGGAAATCACTTAACTGAATAATTCTACTTTGTTTCTTTTAGAAAAATTCCACACTCTCATAATTCCTAATTATATCTATTTGTAAAATGTGTACTCACAAACACTTGCTAGTATAGTTACTTGAACCTTTGCAAAAATTTTCATCTTACAGAGAATATGATTTCTTTTTTCTGTTTCTATTTTTTATGATTCTTCTCATTAAATGAAGAAAATTGCTGCTTATATATTTATAAAATAACTATTTGATGCATAAATTGATCTTTATCTTCTATCCCGAACTAGACAGTGCATTGAGTTGTCAAATGGCAAATATTCAGTACTGTGATCAAAAACATCAATCCTACATCTTGCGTAAACAGACAGAAAGATATGCCTAACCCAACACCTTGAACTGTTTCCTACCAGTTAGGGTTACATATGCTAAAAAATCTGGTGAACCTGGGAGAACTATTAATACATTCATTGTTAGTCAAGCTTTTGTTTTTAACCCCAATATGTGTTCTTAGTCATCTGTAGTAAATGGAATTTAAAATAAAGAAATTTTATTAGACTAAGCCAGAAATAAGACCTAATCTAAAACCAAACTCAATAGCTCAATCTACTTTCACTGAAATCACAATTTGGCCTCAAATTTATATTCACTCTTCATGAATTCAAGCAATTTTTTTAAACATCTACTATTTACTTCTCCAGGCATTGAGGTTACAGGCCAAATAATGTTCCTCACATAATGTATTTATCTTCAAGTAAATCTAGAGTTTGGCACTCAAAATGACAAAAAGAGAACAAAAGAACAAACAGAAATTTCACAGTAGCTGCTGGAGACCCATTTACCAAAGAGAAGAATGTTTTAGATTTCTCTATCCCACTGTAGTAAAACTACAAAACAGAAAATAGCACAATAAATCAAATCCAAAGAGATTTCATCTTTCTTCAGGATTCTCAAGATGCTAAATCAAAGTTGAAATCACTCTACTTATTTCTTATACAGTGCCAACTCCCATTACTTTGAACCCATGACATAATCAGTTCTCATCCTCAGAAATGAAAGAATGGAGACATAAAGATGAGAATTACAGATCTTTCTAGAGATCAATATTCAACAAAAAGCAAAATTGTTTGTCTACCAGTTGTAAGCATTTAAAAATATTCTTAAATAAATTAATTACTTCAAAAATAATTTAAAAGCTATAATGGTGATTTTTTGGTACTCTAAATCCAAATGAACAGAGATAAACCTGTTGCCAAGAAAAGAAACTAAAATTTGAAAGAAAATTAATTTGGTCTTTCTACATTACATTTCTCTTTCTCTTGCATCAACCACTTGGGATGACCAATTTAGCAGGTACAATCTGCAATTAACATATTGATACAAAACATTTTCCTATCATAAAATCTGAAAAGGATATTTAGGTCTATTTTTTAGTCTATTATTAATGTACAAAGTCAGCTTTTAAAAGTATCACCACATGGCATGAATTCAACAAAGATTATTTAATATTGGTATCTTTTAATTGCTATGTGTTTCAGCAAAATCATTTTTATCTCGCTTTGCTACCTATGTCTTCTTTCTGTAGAGCTAGATGTTTGCAATATAACTCCATTTTTTTTCTATGCATATGAAGATTATTTTCTTATTCTAATTTGTTTTTTTCTCCTGATCAAGTATCAGACAGTTCCATGTCATATAATTTGTAAGCTATGCAATAAAGCTTGCAGAAACAGTCCAACGCTATTATCAGAATGTGTTCAAATGTCAAATTTTCACCACTGCCCTGCTGCTGTTCTTACCTGCAATATTAAATACCCTATTAAAATGCTACTGGGTTTTATCTATTTATTTTTCTCTTAATGTTATATTTAAATTAGCAAAGTTATCTGGGGCTGGATTGTTTCTTAGTAATGTCTCCTACCCACTTTCCTATATTGTCTTTGAGCCAGCTTATGGATCCTCCATATTTAAATTCTATTAGCCTAGGTGATCATCCCCTTCTATCCTATTTCTTTAAAGAGTACTATTCAAGTTGTCTAGAATATGGGGTACCTAAGCGAATGTGTTTTCTACCTCTTCTTTAGGGCATTACATAGCCACTAAAGCTCTCCTGAAATTGTAAACAAAGGCTAATTAATCAAAGAAGGGTTAATAAAATACATTTATATAAACTTAAGATAGTATATGCCCATTCTAAGCATGCTTTTACAAGTAATATTCACCACAAATATTTCTGGTCACATTTTTAAAATTATGTGAAAAAGGAAAGTTCAATAGAATAGGTATTGTATTAAATAACAATCAAATTAGCAAAAATACGAATATTTAAATTGTCCAATATTTAAATTGTATAATACAATTTATCTCTGTAAATAAAATTATTAATATCTTTTCTTATATTAAGCACTCTACAGGGATAGAAGTGGCATATATTATGATTTCATTAAGTAACACACAATAGTAGTGAATTTCTTGGAAACAAAAAAGATAAACCAGGAGCCAAAAGATTTCCCCTGAATTCTAAACTAGTTTGAATTCAGTGCACCCTCCTTCTTCATGGTTCTGAACTTTAGAGATCACTCCCTTGAATGGCATAAGACTTAGGACTGATTTAAATCTACTTTCTCACATAATCTCCACTGGACTAGCACAGAACATCAATCTATTCTCAGATTTGCTTGGCAAGAGTTCAATAAAGACTGTCTCTTTCAAGGTAAAAGTTTCATCTGAATTCTCCTTCAGCATAGATAGGAGAAATATATTGGACACATGACTTGATTAGATCTGTTGATGCAGTCTTTGCCAAACCTCTCAAGACTCTCGAGGTACTAAATCAGATAGGGAAAATAAGAGCAACATATTATTGTGGATTCATTATTTTTTGAAAGTTCAAAAGGTAGTAGTATATAAATGTGCATAGATATTTGTAAAGAGCTATAATTCAAGCTAATTAAATTAAGAAAACCATTGATGTGTTACTTCTTAATTAATGCAACTAAGCCCTAATAACCTTTCTAACTCACAGTTTAGACCATTTTAGTTTAAAATGTTTGTATGTTAATTTTAAGTCTTAGTTTTGCTTGTATAGTATGTCTCTGTTCTGGATTCAATTCCAAGTTCTTTAAAGGCAGAAGATTACCTTTTCTTATTTGCCACTGCATATTTTTAACCAACCCAAGCCCTTTCCTCTTATTGCCAGAGGTGACCTGTCCCAATTATCCCATTTGCTTGTGCTGACTCTCATAATCTCCCAAGTGGTAAGGTACACTCTCTCCCACAGTTCACTAGTAGAACCTTTATATTTATTTCAATAGTCCTTAATAAATGCTTCAGATTTCAGACAAGCTGCGAAATTAATTCAATATGTATTTCTAGTAAACTCATGCATCAATAAATGGAAGGTGTATGTTCTGAGAAATACGTTGTTAGATGACTTCATCATGTGGGAACATTGTAAAATGTACTTACCCAAACCTAGATGGTATAGCCTACTACACACCGAGTGCATATGATATAGCCTATTGCTCCTAAGCTACAAATCTGTATAGCATGTTATTATATTGAATACTGTAGTTAATTATAACACAATGGTAAGTATTTATGTACTTGAACATATCTAAACATAGAAAAGGTACAGTAAAAATACAGTATTGTAATCATATAGGACCATAGTCACATATGCAGTCTGTTGTTGACTGAAATGTCATTATGTGTTGCATGATTGTATTTTTTAGTTGTTCTTATAGAGTCTGGGTAAAGGGAAAAGTTAATAACCAAAATAAGATTTAGAAATTATCTGAAGATTTCTTTAATTAAGAGTCTTAGTCACGTAAACATAAATAATTCAAAGTGGAAACTAGACAAAGTTAAGAGAAGACTGTCAGGCTCTTGACATCATAAATGAGGCCCATCACATCCATCAGAGATCACTTATGCCATTTTACAATGGTGCACTTACTTCCATCAAACTATGTGATATCATATGGAGAGTGATATGACCTTGGTGTTATTGGCAATATCTTTTCAGGTACTTGACTCTTTGGGCAAAATCAATTTTGATTTGTGTTCAGAAACAGTGTTATTTAAGAAACTTCGGAGTTTCCAAGGTATAAGAGGTCAGAAAATATTTGAGCAAGAGGGGGAAAAAACGACAGAATGAGACAACAGGAACAAGAAATGAAGAAAGGCATGAGCTATGCAAATATTAGACCCAGGAAAAAAATCTACAAGAAAAATTTGACAGAGAAAGGGAAAGGCTCTGAAATTAGAGCATTAAGGCCTAAGGAAAAGAGGGAGGCAGTCTTATACATAGGCACATAATGACAACACATTCTAAAACTTAATAGAAAAACTCACTTATTTTGAAACCCAGCAAGAATAGAGAACCAACTCTGCCAGGCACGAAACTTATCAATCAGTTCCAGCACCCTTCCGTATTCTTCCTTGTGGTGGTGGGGCTTAAACTCCATGGATATTTCTTCTTTGCCAGTAAGAAGCAGGAAAGAGAGAACATAATTTTGTTTAAAGGGATAGATGGTAAATAGTTTTGTTTTGTGGGCCATATGTCATCTTTTGCACCCATTCAACTGTGTCCTTACAGCTTGAAAGCACCCACAGACAATAAATAAATATATGAGCATGGATGTATTATAGTATGATTTTATTTTTAGTCACTGAAATTTGAATTATATATAACTTTCACCTGTCATGAAACCATTTTTTTTAATTTAAAAAATGAAAATATAATTCTTAACTCACAGACTCTACAAAAATAAGAGGCAGGCCATATTCGATTCATGGTCTGTGCTTTGTCACACCTTGCACCAGAGAGACACTAGAAAGCAGAGGGAATGGTCTTGTTTCTTTTGTTTACAGGTAGTCCACATGACTACAGAAATGAAGTTCCATCCTTGCAGTGGAAGTTGATTCCCATCTCCTGTCTTTCCTTGGCTATTGCTCTCTGTGGACAAACTACATCGTACTTCCTGAAATGCACCTGAATGATTCAAGCAGTGTTCAAGCCATAGGCTCCAAGACACTCCTCATTTGAGTTCCTGAGGACAAGTAACACCTGAGTGCTGCCTCCTCTCTCAGCTGTGTGGGCCTCTCCTCCAGGCTCCTGGGAAATTAGTGTTCTCTAGTCTGCAATCCCTCCTATGAGGTCTGAATTCCAACTCTTTATGGTCTCTTCTAAAAGAGTTAACACTCTAATAGTTTTCCCTTCTTTCTCCAAGCCCTTGAGGTTATAGTTATCTCCTGACATACTGTCTCTGTATTAAGTCAGTGTTCCCTTTGCGTTTTTCTAGTTCTCTCCCACCTGTATAACTAATTATTTCATTAAATTCTGTCTGTTGTAGTACCAAGCATGGTTTCTGTTTTCCTTAATGGGTAATGACTGATAATACTGATACATTTCTCTCTGGCTATGCAACCTTTATTACTCAGGTTGCCTAATCAATTACAATGGCATTCCAATTCAATATCCCAGCAATTATTGATTACTAGTTCCTTTTTTCATTACCTTTAGTACTGATTCCCTTGCTTTCCTTCTAGACACCTATTTCTGAGAAAAATCAAACTAGGTTCAAATAAGAACTTTTAAGCCTATTCTTTGTTCCTAAGAGATACTGCAAATTAAGTATCACTATTATACCAAGACAAGTTGACTATAAGTTATCCCAGTCACACAATTTTCAATGATTTATTTTAAAGTCTCCTGGCATGTTATCTGCCTAATTATACGAAGTGGAATTTTTAAGCTTTTTATAACAATAATAACAACCATTGACATTTAAAGAAAACACTATGTGTCAAGTATCATGTTAAGTAGGTAACATTTTTTTATTTAGTTCTTATATTAATCTATGAGATAGATATATTAATAATTTCTCTTATCTAGATAATGATATCTTAGCATAAATATAGTTAACACTTTTTTCAAGGTTATGTACATAATAAATATCAGAATCATCATTTAAAACCAGATAATTTGACTTTGGATGACTGATTTTTAATCACTATAATGTATCTCTCTGTTATGCACAATGCAGGTCCCCCTTCAGGATTATAGGATTTATTCTCTTAGCTGTTGGGAGGGCCACTGGTTTATTGCCCCTTCTGGAAATTGCTCTGGGCTTAAAGGAACTGCCTTGCTCAAGTTAAGTTATGCCCTTTCTCTTGGGCAGTAGGTAGCTGGCATCACTGCACTCTTTAGCATGATGGGAACAAACTTTGCAGGACTATCCTAGTTTCAGAGCTCCCCATGATGTCAACCGAGACACTGAAGCCCAACTTACTCTTCTTTCCTGTCCTGCATCCTTCTCTTTTTTCCACAGTGATTGATCTAAAGAGATTCCTAATAATTGTATTGCACATCAATCTCTGTCTCAAAATATGCTTTCTAGGGAATGTAATTTGCAAATCTCAGTTAATTTAAATGAAATGAAAGTTGTTTAACATAATTTCATAGAAAGGAGGCTTACGGATGAAAGGATGAAAACCTTACTATTAACTTTAAATTGATTAATAATATTTGTTAAGTGCTAACTCTAAGAATTGTGTATTTTCTTTATTATGACATGATAATAGAATATCTTCAAGTTTCAAATGAAGTAAAGTAATTTGCATAAAGTTGCATATAGTGAGTTAAAGAGGTAGATTTGAACCAAGGTCTCTCAAATTCCAAAATCTATATATTTCCCATTTTATCCTTTGACTATAAATTAGTTTGGTAAAGAAAGATGACCATCTGTTCATAAAAGTTAAGTCAAACACATTCAAAATTTAAATCCAAATGATTACTTGAATGCAGGTGAGTTTATTTGGGAACACTATAAATATATATATACAACCACTATAAAACAACAATAAACAAACAACAAATCAATTTAGGGCTTTTTATTTTGTTAACTTATTTTTCAGAAAGAAGCCAAATGAGTCAAAAAATCTAATTGTTAATTTCTTATTTAGCAATAGATTCTGCGATGAGTATAAGATGTACAAATGAGTTACAGGTGTGAGTAATTTCTCTAACACATTGAAATATAAGAATGCCATTTCACATTTTTTCCTAAGTTGAGCTCTTAGTTTCCTTCCTTTTTCTGAATTTTAGTCATCACATTTGAATATAAGTGGTATTGGCTTTGTCCTCATTAGTAAACAGAGTTCTAGGCTGGAATTCTAAATGTAAGGACCCTAAATGATAGATGTCCTCTAAATGAACCTAAAGTCAGTGGTTGCTACCAAGTCCTGTAGCTTGGTCCAGCACTGGTGGTAAAATTCAGTGGTAAAATTCTCGCCTGCCAAGTCCTGTAGCTCAAACACTTGACAGGATATGCCCTGGAGAAGTTACTGCAGTTATAAAAAATAGCATTTCCTGTTTATGCTCTGCTCTACTACATCTTCACCTTCCTCCCATCCGATAGTGCTTAATTGTCTAAGGATCTCTGGGATGTGTTTAATTCATGTTAACTATCATTATCATCATGCCCTTCTTTCTTTAAATTATGTAAACTGCTGACTTAACATGCAATTAGAGCTATCCTCAGCCCTACTCCATAAAAACCAGTTTAATTGGAAAAATGTATTCATCTCTCTAGGCTAGGATAATCATTTCTCTATTTGGTCAATGACTAGACAGTAAAGAAATTTTTAAAGTTTTAACTTTTTAAAAGTTTTGGTTTGTATTGAAGCTGATTTTTTGAATATTTTATTTGTTCTGTGTAAAAACGTGCACAAAATACGTATTATTACCTTTTGTCAGAGAAATGGTCCTCTAGAAAAAGAGGTATTAAAAGGTTGTAAATGGAAAAGTACATCTAAAATATTCCATGCATGAATATAAAGGCTAGCTGAGTTGCCCTGGCCTATTCTAAATAGATTGTATGTTTCTCAAAGGCAACTCATCACTACCATCATTTGTTATAAGCTTAAAGTGGAATTGATAGATCCATGCTAACATCTATGCTGATTTATCTGCACTACTATTCAGAATTCTAGCAAAGGATTTGACAGCAGAAAGTGCCATTCATTATTTCTACAAATACTCATGAAGAATTATATAAGATACCAAAATGGAAGATGTGGCAAATATGAAGATGAAACAGATACAGGCAGTTCTAATATTGTATTACAATACAATAAAACATTTTGGAGAAATACATAGTAAAACTGCACAAATGCATATAATGAGAGGTGCTACATACTGAGTGGCATAGGAAATGTTCACCTCATATGCCACAGGAGTTCCAGGAAACTTGATCATGAATCCACTCTCCTCTTTTACAGATTAGAAAAAAAGAGGATTTGAAAAAAATACGTGTAGTTCCCTAAAAGCACTTAGTTAATTAAACTAGTTTCCAAGTTATTTTAACAGAACTAAAATATAAGAATCAACTATTATTTTTAATCTAGTAATAGATGTTTACAAATGATTAAAATTCCATGTACAGCATGTGATTATTCAGAAAATTCTTGTCCTCATATAAATGGCTTCTGGGCTTGTACTTTACCAATGCCATCCCTCAATCATCTGATGTAAACCAAAGATAACAGTTCTTCATCGATTTATAAAGCCTCATGGTATAAATAGGAAGTAATTATTTTATAATTTTGGGGAAGGTTAAAAAAAAACTAGTCATGAACAGTAGCGTGGTATACAAGAGAGAATTATAGAGTACTTTCTGAGGTCTTAAGTTTAGCCATATACTATTGCATTATTGAATACATTATTATATTTAGGTTCTATTATGTTATATAATCTAAATAGCTTTTATAAACAGCCCTCATATATAATAGCTAAAACAATAGACATACATTTCCTGTTCATAGAATTCCAAGTAGATTCCAGATCTGGGGTGAGATAGTGATGGGGGCTAGAGGCTGGTGTGTGTGTGTGTGTGTGTGTGTGTGTGTGTATGTGTGTGTGTGCTCTGCTCTGTGAAGTTATTCAAGGATTCAAGGCTCAGTTTATGTAATATTCAATTTATAACTCCCAAGATAACACTAAGCATTGTCATTCCCATGTTACCTGAGGAGAAGAGAAAATTGAACACAGGTCTAGAAGACAGGTCTAGAAGTGGCAAAAACACTCTGTTCATATTTCAATGGCTAGAGCTCGTAACATAGCAACAGCTAAATGCAAGAGAATGGAAAATATAATCAAGCTACTAGTCCAAGTGAAATGGAAAATGGATGCGAAGCCAGCTAGCAAACAACCCTGATCTTTTTTCCACCAAATATCCTTGTCACTCTTTCCCTCACACTTAGAACCCATTCAGTCCCTCCCAAAGCATGGCAACCTAAGCTTCCATTCAGTTATTACATCAAGCTCAAAGTTCAGAATATGATGTTTAAATGCAGCTTCCTAGAATACAATTTATAAATGAATAAATAAATATCTCTCATTTCTACAAGCACAAACATACACACACACACACACACACACACAGTGGAGAACAGAAATGATATCTGCATTATGTATCCCTCATTGGACAGAGAAAAGCAGTGCAGTTTTTGTTGCATAAGAATGACAGGCTACTTTTTAAAAAATATATTTATACATAACTAATTATGTATAAATAAATTGTACATACTTTTGTCATAGAGGTGATAGCTTGATACATGCATACAATGTGTAATGATCAAATCAGGGTATTTAGGATTTCCGTCACCTCAAATATTTATTTTTTCTTTGTGTTGGGAATATTTAAAATATTCTCTTCTAGCTATTGAGTTAGCACCATGAAGACTTGTTTTTTGGCAGTGGATCTGTTTTCAGGGGTGAATTTCTTCATCTAATATTTTCCATTATCCCTAGCTCCATCCTGTGGAAAGTTCTTTCTTATCCATTATCCCTCATAGCCACAACTGAACAGGATTACAGTGAGTATGCCCTCCGTGATTATTGTACATTTCTAACAGTCCTGCTTTCTGTTGCTGTAAGTCTATGCCTCAAGGGTTATTGCTTGGTTCATAAAGTCTAAAGCTTTCTGAGGCCAGGCTCATGATTTCTCTGGTAATATAATTTCCAGTAACCTTTTAAATTTTGGCTGCACCACATTTCCTCTAATCTATACCTTTCTTTGGATGTTACATCAGTATTTTATGTACCACTGTACTATCTTTTATCAATATAAATGCTTATGTGACATTCATTGAAGTAGAACTTTTAGTCTTAGACATAGATATTTAATCCTGGGTCAGTGGTTTCCAAACTCTATTATGTATGAGAATTACCTGGAAGGCTTGGGAGAACATTGATTCCTATGTTTCTGATTCAGTAGGTCTGAGTAGAGCCTGAAGATTTTCATTTCTAGAAAGCTTCAGGTGA